GAGTTCTGTGTTCTTTTGAAGACCCACAGACAAGATCAGTGTTTCGACTTCTTGAGGGCAGACTCTGGCTTTGTCCTTTACCACAGGTTAGCAAGGCTTCCATAGTCCACTTGTCTTCTCTAAGGATGAGTGAGAAGATCAAATGCCACAAGAGGCTAGCTGGGGGTGGGGGGAGGGCTGGTTCCTAGAGTGCACAGGTATAAGAGCAGAAGACAGTGTGGGAGGGGGAGAGGAAGCCCTATTAGGCCCAAGCTTTGCTGGCTTTGCTTGAGGATTCTCAGGCTCTATGTTTGTGCGCATGTTTAGAGAAATTGGGAAAGTTCTACCAATGTGGTAGAAACGTGAGCTTGCCTTTTACTGCACACAACTGGGTTCCTGAGTTCATTCAGACCTTCCTGTGAGTTGCCTCCAGGATGCTCATTTTCCCCCTTACGCCTCTGTTAAATGCTTTTTGACAGCTTCTTAGCCTTGTGATCGCTACTGAAATCATACACAATTTCAGACATTAGAAGCACCAATTCAGTGCCTTTTTGAGTTGCTCTGGTTGATTGAATTCCTGAAGATGTTCAATGATTCCATTTCTAGCATCTTAAAGGATGGAAAGCACCTCTGCTGATGCCACATGACCTTGAGTATCCAGGGTGACTCAGGTGTTTGGCAACCCACCAGGGATGACTCTTTGAGATTAGGTTATAGTTTTTGGCTTGGGATGTGGGCTCAACTAATTTTGTTAACTGTCTGACTTATGCAAATGTTTTCCTTAAATCAGATTTGGGTTTCTTTTAGTCTTTGTTTCTAGTTTCTTTATATCTCTTACTCATTTTGTTCCCCTTCACCCCACCACTTAGTACTGGGAGCTCAGAGCTAGGGCCACTGAGGAAACCAGCTAGTGGGTGGCCCTGTTGTTGAATTTTCCAGGTAGGCATGTTTTGTTTATTGGGTAGGGACTCCTGTCTGCAGTTAGACAGAGATGGGTTGAATGGGGCCCTACTTTTCTGTTCACCTTATGGTTTCTTGCTGTTTATTACTGAATCAGCCCGTTTAGCGACGTCTGGAATCTTTAACATTCTGTCTTTCCATGAACATCTCTAAAACATCCTGTATTTGACTTCAGCTTGAGACATCATCTTCTGTAAATCAAATGATTACTCATTTGTGAAAATAATAGCCTCAACACTGGTCAACACTCATACGCTACTTTAGAGTCCTGCTGCTCCTAGTTATGACACTTTAAGGTACGTTTTTGGATTATCACAGTGAGTCTGTGGCTTGGAGGGCATTGCTTTTCTCTTCAATCTGGATGGGAGGTGATGGTTCAGCAGTTAAGAACACTGACTGATCTTCCAGAGACCTGGGTTCAAGTCCCAGCAACCACATGACAGCTTATGACTATCTGTAGCTCCAGTTTCAGAGGATCTGCCACCCTCACATAGACACACATGCAGGTAAAGCATCAATGCACACAAAACTAAATAAATGTGAAAAAGAAATATGGATGGTAGAATTAGGTAATTGAATTTGCATTTTAGCTTTAATAACTTCCAGTATACTATTACCCAACAAATGACTCAGTTTTCTCATCTGTAGAATGGAGAAACATCTGTTTTATGGGATTCTGAGAAGTAAGTAATTCAGGCAAAAGCACTGCAACAGTAGTTACCACATAGTAAGTAGTCAGTAAATCCTCTGTTACTAATACTGTTGTTATTGTTAATAGCAGATGGGAAATAGACACTGGAAGAAGTGAAGCATCTTACCTAAGATCACACAGCCAGTTGGAAGGGAACTCTGGCTCACTTCACAGTCAGGAGGCTTCTGGTACTTGACTCTTCATGCTGTATTTTTCTGTCAATGAGGTCAGCCTTCATCTTTCAACTTGTTCCTTCATTTTCTTTGCTCTCTTTCATTTTCTTTGTTTTTCCCTACTTAGAATTGTTGAGTATTGTCTGTCCAGTTAGAATTTGTCAAGTGTTACAGTAACAAGTGCTGGAATGGCTCCTTCCCTGTGAGAGATGGAGGTATCACTCTGGATTCTACACACACACACACACACACCACGGACATCTTATAACTGTAAATGTATACCATGGCATACTTTAAGAGCTTAAAATATCATTTGATCTATCTTGTGTGTGTGTGTGCGTGTGTGTATGTATGTAAGTCAGAGAAAAACCTTAGGGATCTGTTATCTTCTTTCACCCTGTAGATTCCACAAATCAAACTCAAGTTATCAGGCTTGGTGACAAGTGCCTTTATTGGTGAGCCATCTTGGCTGCCCATTTTTTGAGCTTTATAAAGTAATTAATACTTTTCAGTGCTCTAATACCTTTCCTCATATGAAGGAGAATATTAACATTTTGGTGACCCTCATTTGTCTTTTCACATCCCTTATGGAGACTGCACAGTGGTTACATTAGCTCTATCTGAGGAAGCCACTGAAGTGTCAAACGAATTTGTGCATCAGAGTCAGATGGATGACGCTCAGATCCTGGCTTCTGCATGTCTGAGTCTCTGAATCTCATCGTCCTCCTCTATACCATGAGTAGGAAAGGTTTGTAGTTGATTCTTTACACTCAACAATGGTGGGCATTGCTGCATTGAGGAGCCGACTTTAAGTTTTGACCCAAGGTCATGACTAGGTGGGCACCAGGCTCATACTTGCTTACAGATTGCTGCATGACGTGCTTCATCTGGGCACATTGTTTCTCTGCATTCTAAGTGCAAATGTTTTGACCTTTTGGTCACTAATTTATTTTTAATGTGTCTATTATGGACAGACCATTGGCTGTGTATACCATCGGTCATGTGCAGTGCCTTTGATGCCAAAATTCCAGATTTACCTCATGTCACCAGGCAAAATTAGTGTTAGTGAAGCCACATGACCAACAAGAGCTGTGACACTTGCTGAAGCCGTCAGATGGCATTTGAACAGCTCTTCTCAGGAAAGGAAGCAGCACCAGTTTATTGTTTTAGGACATGCCTGGCAGCATGTAAGGCAGTGACACTGAGGAAACACCATAGCTGGTTTCTCAGACTCAGTGTTTTGGGGAAAAGAGACACAGTGGAAACATGTTACAGTTAAGGGCCAGTAAGAATCACCTGATCCAGCCAAGACTACTTAGGTGGACTATGGTGTTTGTATTAGTCTTCTCTAGCATAATAGCTTATAGAATGAATCTATCTATCTATCTATCTATCTATCTATCTATCTATCTATCTATCTATCTATCTATCAATCATTTATCTTTCATCTATCTATCTATCTATCTATCTATCTATCTATCTATCTATCATCTAGCTGATTTATCAGAATGACGTATAGCCTGTGGTCCATCTAATCCAATAACCGCTGATGGGAAAGGAAAGTCCAGGAATCTAGTAGCTGCTTAGTCTACAAGGCAAGATGTCTTAGCTGGTCCTCAGTACATTCTGGGATCCCAAAAAATTCGCTGGCTTTAATGCCATTGAAGGAATGAACTTGTTGACAAGGCAAGGGTAAGCAGGCAAAGAGCAAAAGCTTCCTTCTTCCATGTCCTTATAGGCTTCCAGCAGAAGATGTGACTCAGATCAAAGGTGGGTTCTTTCCACCTCAAAGGTCCAGACTAGCACTGGATTTACCCACTTCAAACCAAGCAAAAGTAATCCCTCTCAAGTGTGCCCTCCATTTCTGTATTGTCATTCATTGCAGAGCTATTAAGTTGAGAACCAAGAGTAGCTATCACAGTGTTTCACGGACTCCCATGGGCACGTAAGCCCACTTAAAGCAAGACTCACAGTGATCATAATGTTAGATGTGGGAGAGCAAAGAGGAAGTCTATGGTGCGTGTGCATTTGGGAGTGCTGAAGTGTTGAAAGGGAGGTAGAAGAGTCCTGAGCAGAGGTAAGTTCTGGGCAGTCAGGATGAGCAGCATTTGGTTCCATGTTTCTGAATTGAAGGCTTTTTGGGAACAGTGTTGGGAGAACAGACTGAGAAGCGAGCAGAGAGCTACGTCTAGAAGAACTTGTGCACCATGTTGAGATGTAGGTAAGCAAGAGGGCAAGAGATGAGCGCAGTGCACCAGTGCTTCAGCACCATCGCTCTGAACATCTAGTGGAACAAGGGAGCAATAAATCCTGACTTAAGCTTGGAAGAAGGAGCATGTAACTGAAGAGCAAGGTGCGTTACTAGGTGCCACTGTCAGAGCTGCAGAGACTGAGAGAATTGGGACCCAGAGTGGGCCCAGGATTTCAGGATGGCAGAAGATCTGAGTGGTCAGCTTGCCAATATGTGGCCAATGACTTGGATATCGAGTGACAATAGGATTTGTATAGGAAGCATAAGGTAGCACCAGGTTGTAGAATTATATGTGACTTGGTCAGGAAGACACCCCTACTTAGAAAAGAATGGTAAATAATCCAATTACATGTTCAGTTTGGTTGCAAGCTTAGAAGGCTTTGGGTACAAGAAGAGGATTTTGAACTTATCATTAATCAATAGGAAGCAACTAACAATTTCAGTATGGACTAGGACCACACCTCTTTATCCAGTTTCTTCATCATGGTTGTATCTAGAGTGAGAAACTCTATCCTCACACTTAAGGAACATGTCAGAGAGGCAGCATTATTTTGGCTTGGAAGCTCTGGCCTGCCTTGGCTTTAGAGACACTGGAATTGTCATTGTCATTGTCTGAGACAAATGCAAATGCCAGAGAGGAGACGTGGTGCCCACAGAAAGATGAGGGATGCTGCATGCACTTCAGAGTCTTCTAGGGACAGGAGAAACAGCATGTGTGCTCTGCTCCCAATCTAGACCCACCACCGAGTTGTCACTTGATCTTGGTAAGTTTCCCCGCTGGGTTTGATGGTAGTCTAGAACTGCTGTGAAGAACACATTGCTCTCTCTATTCAGTTGCTATGTAATTGACCAGAGTTGGTACTGGAATTCAAGCCTAATTGACATATCTCGCATGAAAAATAGGTTGTAAGTATATCCCAGTACAAATGAATGTTTGCTTTCCCAGGTGGAACTTGCAGAAATCTGTGCCAAGAGTGAGCGTTACATAGGCACCGAAGGTGGAGGCATGGACCAGTCCATATCATTTCTTGCAGAGGAAGGAACTGTAAGTAGCACTGAGTCATTTGGACATTTCAACTTGGGAAAATGTCTATGGAGGGGAAGGCTTGCAGCCCCCAGCATTTGTGGTTATGGGAAGTCTATGCTTTCAGACTTTACTATAGCCCATTGCCCAACTATCTTGTAACTCAGGTCTAGCAGTGAGCAAATGGACTATTTCATACTGATTCCCTTGACCTTAAGCATCCAGAAGCACACTTCAGACTCATTTTTTTTCATGTGTCTAGGCTCCCCCTCCCAATCCCATATCTCATTGTTAAGATGAGATTTCTCAATCCCCTCCTGGGGACCTCCTTTCCTGACCTTGCATGAAATCACTTCATCTTGTGGTGTTTCATAATCTTATGTTGGCTTCAAACCCAAATGTTAGTTCTCTTACCACATATATGCACAGCCCACTTTTTGTAAATTACTCTTTGGTGTCATTTTTCTCTGTCAACATTTTTGGGGCTTTGGTGGTGGGAGGAAGAATGCTGATGTCAGGCCAGGAATAAATTCTCTGGTCCAGTACCACTTCCTCTTGGCTATCAGCTCCTCAGGCAAGACAGAGGTTTGGATTTTTGCCTGTGAACTGCCCATTTCCAAAATAGAAGCAGGCATCTCTTTAAAAATCTTTCTTAGCTTTATATCAGATTTCTTCAGGCTTGGCTGTTTTCCAAGAATACCTGGATTCTTCTGATTAAAAAAGAATATATTTCCATTGATTCTTCTAGGCCGAAGACATGAGGTGTGAGGAAATTTATTTTAACACTAAAATTATACTTTAGGTGTTTTGGATGTGAACTGGCAAGCAGATGCAGTACTGGGGGTTCTGATGTTAATGTAAGTTTGGCTCATGGTCTAGAGAGAGTCCTTGTTCTCTGGCCTCATGTCATTTGTTGCCACTCCATACATACAGAAACTCCTCCTTCTTTCTGACACCTTTAAGCATCTTTTAGGACTTAGTATAGATTTCCCTTTTCAAAAGGCTACTAAGTTGTCTGATTAGACCCTTCTATTAAGTGTTGGAGTAAGACTGTGAACTTTGCAGTACGCTATGACACTTACAATGTGGAGACATAATTTCATGTCTTCTCTTAGCAATTGTAGCTTCCAGGAAGGTAGAGGCAGAACCTTTCCTGTTCACTGCTGTGTCTCCTACACCTAGTGCAACGCCTGGCTGTCAATAAACAATGTTTGAACAAATGCAGCATTTTTAGAGAAGACGTTCTTAAGATAAAATGAGAGCATACAAGCTTGAATGTTTTTCTGAATCCTAATAAATTATTGTTTCCTCTGCTGCTTTTCTTCCAATAGGCCAAGTTAATAGAATTTAGTCCTCTGAGAGCGACTGATGTGAAGCTCCCCAGTGGGGCAGTCTTTGTGATTGCCAACAGCTGCGTGGAAATGAACAAGGCAGCCACTTCTCATTTCAATGTCAGGGTGATGGAGTGTCGGCTGGCGGCAAAGGTACAGATGTGGCAAACCAGTGGAACTTTGCAGCATGCCTGTTCTTCCCTGATTGTCCTCTATGGTTTGTACGTTTCCTTCCACTTCAGAGCAACACCCTGACTGCAGCCACAGCATTCTAAATGCAAGTCTTTGGGTCCAGAGCAATCTGATTCCAAACTGATAAACTAACAGACAGATCTTATGTTCTCTTCTTGTTCTTTAGAAATTGGTCAAACTTCACAACTGAGTCTTCTGGGGTACACCCTGGGGAAGACAGGACAATGGCTATTTGTGATGGATAGGCCAGAATAGAAGCAGATGCTTCCTTAAGATGAAATACATGTGAGTTTGTTCCATAGGTGGAGAAAGACAGTTGAGGAAATGACAACAGTTGATCTTATTTTCCCAACAGGGGTCTTGGTAGCCTTGCCTCTCCCCCCGCCCCCGTCCCATTGGACACTCCATTTGTATATTAGGACATTACCAGTAGCTCAAAATATAGATGTGCTGGTATCCGTGTGAGCTCAGAAGGATGATTTCTTTATATGTCTGCTGGGGAAATACATACCAGGAGGAAGGCAAGGTAGTTCTCTGTTCTATAGTGTAGAACCTTTGACAGTTAAGCCTTAAATCTATCAAGGAAGTTTTTACTGAGTCACCATTGGACAGTGTGCAACAGGCATAGCAAGGGGTTCAGGACACAGGACCAGAGGGAGTGGAGTTAAAGTTCAGAGACAAATAGGAAGCAGGTAGCATGTAATCAATAGTGAGCAATGTGATACGCTAAAGGACAAAGATATGACCCATTGCACAGTACCCAGAATGGCATGTGGCATGACCAGAAACATGCAGAAGACAGGCTGGATTTATATTCTGAGTCAGGAGCTCCTCACTGCCTTCTGTTGAGCTTGTTCCCACCTACACTACCAGCCCCCTCTCTGCTGATGAATTCCTGTGAGACTCTTCTGGATAGGCCATCTTGGCTGAGTTCCTAAAGTGTAGATTGCTCATCAGAGATCTCTATTTGAGAAAAAATTATAGACCTCTCACGTCAGCATGTCCACATGCGCTCAGCCCCCACGTCCCCAAAGGGCTTTTAGTCTTCAATCGGTCAGATGGTGTGGAACAGCCTCAGTACTCTTCTGTACTGTCCCGCAAATCTGTTCTCTTCTTCCCGCTCATCCTACAAATGATGGCTGGCATGACGGCTTAGACATTTTCCCTGATGAAGTATCCCCTTTGTTTACCACTTCCCCTAAGTTCCCCATTGCTTTGGAATAAAGTAAAAGAAGCCTTGTACTGAACTTCGTTGAGCAGCCAATAGTTGGGAAGGAACTGTCAGGCAGTGAAGGAATTCACTCTTTCAACCATCATGGGAAAAGTAGCTTATGGAATACAATGCAAGAAGGAAGTGGTCCAGGCAGGGACTACAGTACCACTGACAGCATTGAGGACTGTTGGCTGCAGTGATGGATGGGCTGAGGAGCTCCCCTCCATTTAGGAGACTAGTTCAGTTAGGGTGAGTTTCTTTGCGTGCCCTTTCCTAGGCTGTAATCTCTGCCATGAGAAGGGCAGTCCAGGCTGGCTGAGTACTTCACCTGCTACCCATGCAATTTTTAGTTGTGCAGTGTTTGCCATGCAAATAAGGGAAGTGCTGGCTGCATAGTTCAGTCCTGGTCCAGGGCTCAGGCCACAGGCCTCCAGGCTGAAGTTCTATGGTATTCGATTACAGCATTCCAGACTGGCAGTTTGGGATTTCTGGACCATGCTAGTGAAAGTTCTCTAATGGGAACCAGCCCTATTTCTTGATCTCTTATTAATTGTTCTTCCCCCATACTTGACTATCTCTTTAAGGCCTAAGGCTGGTATATCTTACCTCAGCATCTCCTAGCATCCCCTGCAGTCACGAGGGCATGGCCACCACTCTCAGGGGACTTCTTACATATTCAGGACAGTTTTGTTTTTTATTAGCCCTCTTTGAAATACTTCTAGATGACCCTCAAAGAAGCCTTACTTGACCTCCTTATTTCTAAGCTAAGCAGTGATCCCTCTACAGTTAGTTTGTAGCACTTATACTTCTTAGATATGTAGAGGGTTCCCCACACTTGTAAAATATTGTGGAGAGAAAGAATTGGGACAGAGTAGTCATTCTTTCATTCATCCAAGGCTCGTGTCAGCAAGTTAGGGACACAAAAGTTAACAAGATGGATGCAGTTCATGTCTCAGATAAAACGGAATGTGAAAGTGGAGATAGATGTTAAACAAATGCCCATTTCCAGAAAACACTGTTTACTTTTAGACATCCTCTGCCTCTGGCTAAGCTCTCTCTTCTGCAATAATGCCCCAGTCTTGGGTGTGATACAGATGTACTATTTAGGGCTCAGTGTTCCAAAGTCTGCTATTCTCTGTACCTCTGTCAGTTGTGGGACTCTGTATTGACCATCACCTACTTCTGTAGTTATTCTGATAATTGGGTGGAGTATTAACCTGACTCCTACTGACTGAGTAATGTAGATGAATGCATCCATAGCTCTCACTAGATGAATGCATCCATAGCTCTCACAGAGTCTTCTGTTTGACTCCTGCTTTATAAGGCTGTCAAGTTGGAAGAGTACAGCTACAGTGATTTAGGAAAAGAAAGTTTTTGTTTTTTTCTTCCTAAAAAATTTGGGAGTTGACCTTTTTTAAAGTAAAGATTTAGATTTTTAAATTTTAATCTACTCATTGAGACAATTATTAAAATTATGAAGGGAGATGTTCTAATATTAAGCCTAATAGCATCTTGTCAGTATACACATGCGGCAAAAGCAGTGCCTGGTCAATGACCATTTCCTGCTGGGACACACTTCTTCTTTGGGAGGTGGGCAACTCCAGTGTTCTCCCTGAGGGCTTACTCATTTGTGTTTTTATCTTGAGGTTGATGAGTAAGTGCTGGTGTCCTGAGGAGACTCCAGACATATACAACATTATTTTTTTTGCATCTTAGCACGAAATTTGAGCCTCTCTGCCAGAGCTACAGTGACCTAGAACAAGTGTGATACATGTGACAGGTTTGTGTAGTGACTGCTGTCTTCCAAAGACACAGGAAGAATCCAGAGCTAACCTGTATCTCTGATGAGGTAGTGAAACTGCCACAACCTTTTGGGAGTGTCTTCAGAGAGCTAACTAGAAGTGGGGGCATGTCGTTTGTAGCTGAAGTTTCTAATCAAATTCAGGACCTCTTATTCTTGAGGATGTCTTTTGAGGACCTTGTTTGTACCCTAGGCTGACCTGGAACTGGTCTAGAATGGCCTCAAATTTCCACCCTCTGGCCCGTCTATATCTCCTACATGCTGGGATAACGAGCATGTGCCATTACACCCAGTTAGAATATGATTGGAATTTAATTGTATAACTCCATATGTGTTTAAAGGCACTTTGTCATTGGAGTTGGCAACTGAATTTGGCTATTTGTTTCACAATGCTCTCCAAGATGATATAGCTAAAACACATTTTAAAAACCAAATTTTCTCATAAATAAGAATTTGGTTAAAAGCAGGCACAGTTCCTTTTTCTCAGTTAGTTCTTGGAGAATCTAATGGCATGTCTTTTGAGAGTAATTATACCCTATCCCTTAACCAGCCAAATTTTTTTCTTTTTTCATTTTTAAATAAACCCTGAAGTTCATGTTGGGTGGCAGTATATGCCTTTAATATCAGTATTGGGGAAGCAGAGGTCAGCCTGGTCTACATAGTGAGTTTCAGGGTAGCCATTGTGACATAGTAAGACTCCACCTCAAAAACCAAACCAAACTGAACCAAATGTAACAACAATGACACTAATACTCCAAACTCCAAACCCCGACTAAACCCCTGAGTCTTGTTATTCTTGGAGAGTTTGGCCGTACACTGGAGCATGGTTGAACGACCAGGGGCCGCACTCTTAAATTTGACTCCAAGAAAATCAACTCTACAGTTCCCAGCAGTTATCAATAATTGCCGATCACTTCTTAAGTAGGGGTGGGACATTGTGTCCACCTCTCCTCTCCATGCTGAGATTTTATCTGACTTGAGCTTACACAGGTGTTGTGTGGCTTGCTATGAATTGATCTCACAACTACCCTGTTGTGTTTAGAAACCACTGTTTCATTTTAGTCCTGTACTGTCTCTGGCTCTTAGACTCTTTCCACTTCTTCTTTCATAATGAGCATTGGGAAGAAGGAATATAAGATGTCCCATTTATGCTGAGGATTCTGCAGTCTTTTGCTCTCTTCAACTTGACAAATTCTGGGTCTTTGTATTAATTGCCTGTATTGAAGAAGGAAGTTTTTCTGGTATGAGTTGAGAGATGCAGTAATTTATGGATACAATAATATTAAATAATTAGGAATTGGTTTAATACTATGTCTCTTCGGCAGAATAATAGAGTAGGTTCTCCCCCAGGACCTATGGCCTGTCTAGCATTAGGTTCTTGGACCCTGTAATTACTCCAAGTACAGGTTCATCTTGTGGAGTGAGCCTTAAGTCCAATCAGAAGTCTTTGGCTACCCCGGGATGTTGGTGACTCGGTGCACAGGTCAAGGCTGGCCAGTTGTAGATCCGTATGCAGGAGAAAAGTCTTCTTCAGTCTTACCCACCTATGGACACTGAATGCCACGCTTGTTAAAGGGGAATATAAGAAGACAATATGTATGCTGTTTATTTAAAGTATAAATTAGTTTCTTTCCAAAAATGAAGGAGAGTTGAGATGTCATTAGCCCTCATTCAAGCTTCTCAAATTTCTGAGAAATAGCACATTAAATCTTTAATCCTGAATTCCTGCTACAGACTCTAAATGCCCCTCCATAGAAAAATGAATATCCTGGTTTCTTCCCTTGCACAAACACATGCCATTTGACAGACAGGGTTGGTAACATCCAGGTCCATGGCTGCTGTGCAGGGTGGCTTCCTTGTCTCTCACATCTTCGGTCATCCATGCTCTCATATACATTTGTCCTTTAAGAAGATGGTTGATTCCTCTTTCCCTTCTTCAGCTTCAGT